AGGTTACGTGGTGTAACAACAGTCAGGTTATGTGGTGTAACAACAGTCAGGTTACGTGGTGTAACAACAGTCAGGTTATGTGGTGTAACAACAGTCAGGTTACGTGGTGTAACAACAGTCAGGTTATGTGGTGTAACAACAGTCAGGTTATGTGGTGTAACAACAGTCAGGTTATGTGGTGTAACAACAGTCAGGTTATGTGGTGTAACAGTAGTCAGGTTACGTGGTGTAACAACAGTCAGGCTATGCTGTGAACCAACAGGCTATGCTGTGTACCAATAGTCAGGATACGTCATGTCCTAGGTACTGACAGTTGGGTTATGTTATGTGCTATCATTCAGTTTACGTACCTACAGTGAGTTTATATGTTGTGTGCCATCAGTCACACTAAGTCGTGTACAAGTCAGATTACATCATTGTATGTCATATACTGACAGTCGGGTTATGTTGGGCATCCACAGTCAACACATGGAGTGTACAGACACTCACCTGCATGTTAGCATCTTCTCTCGTTACAAGCAATGCAGTGATATCATCTTTATTGAGTTGTTCTCGCAACTGCTTTTCTAAAATCTTTCTTTGGTTTTTCATTTCTTCTATTTTGTTGATTAATAATTGTAAAGTTTCTTCTATTTTTTTGTCTTCAGGAGCTATTTTGACAAACAAAACAGAATGTCAATGTGGATGCAACATGTGTAGTGTATTTGTTTCTATTACTCAGGTCAAATCTCAGCTTCTTACATTGTATAAGGGGTTTCATTCACAAGACATGAAATACCGGTAAGTGTGTCATCTAGGCTTCATGGGGAGAAGATATGTGATTACCGGTAATACATAAATAGTTGATGACATATTTGAAAATAGAATTCTAGGAAAGATATATATTTTAAGTATGCATGGTGTGATAAAAAGAAAAGAAACGAGTTTGTAAAACATCTTATGTCACATGATACATCACAGAAGGAGTAATAGTTAGTTGGTGTAACAGTAATAAACACAATAAATCTCAGACTTACTTTCCACAAAGCTCTGTGATGGTATCGCAGCTTGTAATTCATCAAGAGGGCCGGCCAGTAACTTTAAATTTCCAATATGCACCAACATAGCTTTACGCAACTCTTCATTAGACCTGCTGGCTTTGATGTGACCTTCCTCATAGCGAGACAATTCTTTTTTAATGTCAGTTACAATCATTGGAGTAGGTCGTTGACCGAAATCTTTCTGTTATTTAAAATTTGAGGAAAAAAACATCATTAAGTAGTGATATTTTGAGATAAATGAACAAAACCTGAGTATTGAAATTTGCTATAAAAACCATGTATGTAAATGTGT